GACATATTAAATGCCTATTTTTACAAGTACGCGGAGAAAGTGGTCCTCTAGTTTAACTTTTTTAAGATGAATTTACTCCACAAAAGCAAAATGAAATGTTTTATCTCTATGTTGTTTATGTGCCTGATTAGAAGGCAGAAGTAAATTCATCATACAGACCCCATCAATATGAAATTACACGAATGAAGCGGAATAAGTTTGGGACGGTTTAGTTTCTACTCAGCAGCTTCTTTGCTTTTATAACAAAAATTTAATGTTGCAGTCTGTTTTAAACGTTGGCATATCATCGCGCACAGTCACTGAATGAAAACAACAGTCACGATCACGTTCTTCGAAACCGACCAGACGCGCGCGACCTACCACAGTTATGGTAAGCAATTATCCTGAAGGTGTTAATGTTCCCGTGACAGTCTTCGCACTGAAGGTGTAAATGGTAAACCGAACGGTCGCTTTGATCATCAGAAAGACCTGTCAACTTTGATGATTTAACTGATTAAATTACGGGACAGAAATTTTACTGCTTGCGGCTCCTCGTGCCAAGGGCAGACATCAAACCAGAGTACTGTGAATGGCCGATTCCGGTATGCAAGGCCCCGAGACCTGCTCTGAAATTTATGTCAAGAGTCGCCGACCCCCGTTTGCCAGTTCGGTGGCTCTCGGCAGGGCGGATGATACTGTTGATGGAGCAACAATTACTGCATTTTACTTTTAAAATTGGTATCGGTCCTTCCGGTCGCTCGTCTTGGCAACCGTTGGCTAGTCCTAACGGCCCCTTATCACAATATTGACATTTCTCAAGCGTTTCCGTAAGCATTTCTAGGTTGACAATATATTCTTGGCAAGCGTTCCCTATTTTCTTATACGGCGGGTCCGAACGTAAAATAGGTCTCGTGGGCGATGAAACTGACGCCTTGCATCGTTTTTCTGTTGCAGCTAGTTTACTGGCTCTCATCTTTTCACATTTTTCCTCATATTATCTCCTCTTCTTTCTTTTTATCTCACTACTTTCTCTCGCTGCACTCTCTGGGGGACTATCCTGATGGAAAAATACAAAGTCCGTAATATTAGGACGTCCTATCATGATGTCAATGATATTTAAATCAAGCTCAATAATGTTCAAATAACTCTTAAAACAATGGACACTTACGAACCTGAAGCACAATCTCTTCTCCGTGAACCTCTTTTCTCACTCGAATAGCATTCAACACCCCAGCCATTTTCTTTCTACAGTTTTTGATTCTCGGCATGATGCACACTCAGCTGGTTGGAGACGTTGCGTGACGGGAATCCCTTCTATTTCTTCATTCTAATTATCATATGTCGGTCAGCATTCGGAAGTCAACCAAGCGTGGTCATTGCACGCGTGCTGAACAAGAATGCTGTATAATGACAGACTAGAAACAATAGACAACTCCCAAAACACAATCTCGGCCAAAACGCTGAAAATGTTCAATGTTTACTCAAGTTTGGGCTTATAGAAGATAATGTCACAGTTTTTCAATGACCATGAAATTCAGTCCGGGTAGTTAGTTAATCAATCGTGGCCCTGAAAAAATTTGAAGGAAAAAAAAACTACGAATAGTAACCATCAGGTATACTCTACCCACGAGGTTACGGACAGCAAATGCAGTGATTATTATTAATGTAACCATCAGGTATGTTCTACCCACGAAGTTACAAAGAGAAAGTGCAATGATTATTGCTAACGTAACCTTCAGGTATGTTCTACCCATGAGGTTACAGAGAGCAAATGCAGTGATTATTATTAATGTAACCATCAGGTATATTCTACCCACGAGGTTGCGGAGAGCCAAATGCAGTGATTATTATTAATGTAACCATCAGGTATGTTCTACCCACGAGGTTACAAAGAGAAAGTGCAATGATTATTAACGTAACCTTCAGGTATGTTCTACCCACGAGGTTACAGGGAGCAAATGCAGTGATTATTATTAATGTAACCATCAGGTATGTTCTACCCACGAGGTTACAAAGAGAAAAAGCAA